TTTTAGATTTTCAGAAAAAGTAAGATGATAGTACAGAGAGTAGCCATATACCCAACACTCAGTGTCCTCTATTACTTCATGCTTTAGCACGGCACATTCGTTACAACGAATGAATCAGTATAATTATTAACTACAGTGCATTCTTTACTTAGAATTGTTTTGTTTTTATCTACTGTTTTGTTTCTTTCCAGGGTCCCACCCAGACACATTATCTTAGCGGTCACATCTCCTTGAGCACCTCTTGGCTGTCACAATTTTTCAGATTTTCCATTTTTGATAACCTTGACAGTCTTGAGGACTTCTGGTAAGCTCTTTTGTAGAATGGGATTTGTCCGGTGTTCACGAGGAAGACAAAAGATGTCAAGTGTCATTTTCATCACACCCTATCCGGGGTCCATACGAAGAACATGACTCGTCGCTGGTAATTTGACCTTGTCACCTGGCTGAGACCGTGCTTTGTTTGCCAGGCGTCTGCACTGTGCAGGGCTACTCCCCTCTCCCCCGTCCACGTTACACACTTCGGAAGGGAGTCACTTTGTGCAACCCAGGCATAAAGGGTGAACTAGCTTAAGCCCAGAGTATCTGCATGAATCTGCATGGGAGATGGTCTCTTCTCCCCCACTTAATAACCTTTTCACTCTTTGACCAGTATGGGCTCATGGATATTGACTTTATACTTTGGGTTATAATCCAGTATCTACTCGGCTGCTCAGTGGTTCCAGTTTCAGCCGTCAGGAGATCTTTCATTGGCTTCTGCATCCTTTTAACAAATTCCTATCGTTGTGGGGTTTTGTTTTGTTTTTTATTCTTCCTGCTAGTCTCCTTTTGAAGTAACTGAGGTTCCCCACCCCTGCACCCACTACTTTAGAAGTTATATGCTCTTTCTTTTATTGTTATCTTGAGTAAAATTTGTATATGCATATCTTTGCCAACCATTTGAATACTTTTTAAGGATCTAACATTTGAACTCCAACTAAGCACACTTCAACTTCTATGCTGTTTTGTCCTGTGTTTCTTTTTTAGTTCTATGTTGCTCTAAGGTTACAAATAAGACAGTATTTGTATCGTTTTGTTAAGTAAATGGTCATTCAGACTTACCCATATTTTTTTGGTCACCATAGTTTCTTAAACCTCAGACCTCTCATCAGATCATTGAGGTTCTGCACAAAGTTCATCTAAATTTCCTTCAGTTAGTCTGTTGGCAATAAACGTACTCATCCTGTCTGAAATGTCTATTTCACCCTCATTCCTAATAGAGCTTCACTGGGCACTGACATTTCTTGGTGAATTCTTGTTTTTTCTTAGTGGGTTGACGATACAATTCCAGTGCTGTTCAGCCAGTGAGCCTGACACTGTGCTGTAGGTAATCCGACTCTTCTCGCCGGCTGCCTCACAAATCTCCCCGATATCCTGGTTCCACTATACATAGAGAGAGAGGAGTGATGTGTTTTATTTAACTCACTTGGGATTTCTATTGCTTTGGGAATGAGAGTTGGTAACTTTGACCAATTCTGGAAAATCTGTCTTTATCTTTTAAAATATTGCCTATTTGCAATTCTCTCCTTATAAAACTCAGAGACATGTTTGACCTTCTCAGACTTTTACCATCTCTTAACTTTTCTATTTCTACTTGTTTGTCTCTGTGTTACCCACCATACTGGGTGATTATTTGGTCCTACCTTCCAGTTCATTCTCTCTTCCATTGGTTATTTTTCTAAGGGATTTGTTTTTGTACAAGGAACTCTTTGTTCTTTATTCTTTTATTTATTTGAACATATCAAACGTTATTTACTTTACATTTTATATCTGGAAATTGCACTAGCCCTAGTCCCCGCTGATCTGACAGTAGTATTTGTTTTCCGCGGGCCTTCCCTTAGGCCTCTTTGGAGGCATTCGGTGACCCTGTGGGTTTGTGATGTATGACTCTGAGTGGAGAGCGTTGGAGGACCAAATCGAAAGTGTGTTCTTCTCGTGTGGATATGCAGCTGCTTCGACCGTGAGCTCAAGGGAACCCCCTGAGAACTTGGATTGAGAACTTTTTAGACCACATGTCCCATGAGAATTCAAACTGCAAACCCACATGAGGGGGTCTTCCCTTCGTAGGGACAACTGCATTCTCTCCCTTTCCAACCAGAGCCAGCCCCCCCGACGCTGAAGGTGGCGTTCGGGATTCCATCTCCCACTAAGATGCCTCAACTCCAGTGCTCCCCAGGCTTGTCTCCTGCCACCCGTACCCTCAAGTCCACTCTACCAGCTCAGCATCACCAAGATTGGGCATGTGCCCCGAGTGTCCACTTCTCTTTCTGGAGTTCTGCTCCCACTGTTTCGGGCCTTGAGAATGCTTTCCTTTCTTGCCAGCTCAGTGACACATTTAAGAACAGTAAAAACAAGTTGTATCTAACATCTTGAGTTATCATCAGGTGGTTGTTGAGAGTACTAGTTCTTCACACACTGGAAATGGAAGCCCAAAATTCTGACCCACAAAGTTACTGAAAGGCAATGATGGAGCAGAGGCAGGGAACACAGACTACTCTTTTTTTTAAATCAATTTGGAAATGGGGAGTAGAAATCCAGAACGACTGGGGTTTTTTGGTGATGTGCAGGTGGCTTTATCAGGAAATGTGGCAGCTGCTACCGAGAGAGACCAGGATGACGTCACTTCTTTCCCAACAACAGAGGTCTGGCGAGGGCCGTCAAGAGCTGGGTTACAGTGACCCCACAATGTCACCAGGAGTATTATGCCAAGTGGGCTGGTATCACATGTACTTCAGCCAGAAAGTAGATGGAGATTAATCCCAAAAAGGGCACAAGCCAGTAGTGTTTCTCTTAAGAAGCTTGCCGAGAACTCCCAGCCGACTTCTGCCCACCTCCCTCTGGCAGTCCATAGCGGCAAGGGAGGCTGGGAGTTTAATCTTTCATCTGATCCCGTCGCTGCTTGAGTGGAACTGGAGCATCCTGGATGATTGGCAGGCAAGTAGCAGTCTCGGCCACAGCACCCAAACACTTTCACTGCCCAAGGCTGGCATGGAGGGAATGACTGAAATCAAGATGAGTTACTGGAACTAAGTCCTAAAGAATGTGGGAGAGAAGAGGGTCAAAAACTCAGAGGACGGGTTTGGACCTCGAGAGCAGGTATATCTTCACGTGAAACTGACGAACAGAAAGAGAAAACAAGGCCACTGGATGGGTATGGAGTAGTGAGACCCAAAGCCGAGGGGAGTCCTTGTAGCACACAAGTGACAAGGTCTCCTGTGGAGATGCTGAGTGGGGGCAGCGTATAGAGGGGGGAGGGCCTGGACCATCTGCTGTGTGAATGTATCAAGAATGCCAGTTGAAAGCTACCTGTCGAAAGGCTATACATATGAGCAACAATGGGTTCCACAGCAGGACAAAGTCACTATCATTAGAACATGTTTCTAAAGTAGGAAACACACTCACAACATATTTGGCCTATCACTCTTGAAAGACACTATGCCCAAAATTGGGCTCAGAATTGAAAGCGTGGAGGTAATGACAAAAATACATACATAATTAGGCGTTGGTGACAGAGGACACCCCTCTGAACAGCCTTTCTCGTTTCTCATAAAGTGCCTTTCCATCAGGATAACTTTTCTGAGTGCTTCTGGTGCCTGGAAGCCACCGTGGCTCTGATTTTAGGTGACATCAGGCGCGTTCAGGGTGGTATGGCCATGGACGGTCTCTCTCTCTTTTTAAATCAAGTTTGCTCAGGATGACTAAACAGCAGCCTGGGGCCCGTGTAGCCAGACAGGGCTCATGAGCCAAGTCCACGGGCACCTGCACTTTTGTTGAGCTCAAACTAAATGCCTTAGTCTGGTCTGGAGGCAAGATTATGAGGCAGTTTACACACACTGCTCCAAGTGGCACAGCAAATACTTAGAATTCCATCCAGTGTGGGTGCCACCTCCGTGGACACTGCCCACGCTGCCCGCAATGTCCAAGCACAGCTCCCTGTTCCTGGGAGCCGTGTGCATTGCGGCTCGAGCCCTCACCTGTGTCCCCCTCAGTGCATTTCACTGGCAGCCAACAACAGGAAATCTAAGAGAGCAGCTCTCTGAAGATCCTGTGGAACCAGCGTTCAAGTGACAGAACTGACCGAGCTGTTGCTACCCTGCAATTCAGGTTTCACGGAAGACCCTTCAAGCAAAACCAAGACCTAGAGGAGCTTTTTATCAGCAGCGCTGGCTCTCATGCATGTAGAAAAGCTGATATTCACTAACAGACACTTCTGACAGATACAATGGGTCATAGCTGCTTGTCATTCACCGAATTACAGCAAAATTAAATTTTGCAGTATAATCTGAAGGAACTCTGTGCCCTCTCTGGTTCAAAGATTCAAACCAGCATTAACTACCACATCATTCAACACTTAGGGAATATTTCCTGTAATTATTTGGTCAATGTTGATTTGGTAAGGATAAATGCTAAGAGGATTCTAGGCAGAAAAATATCTTGATGTGTTTATTAATTGATTGAGATTGTTTATCTATGTGTATGTTTATGTTTATTTTTTAAAATTTAAGGTAGGCTTTTGCAATAACTGAGTTAGCTGACATCCCAACAGTTTGAGACAAATAATTATTTTAACTAGAAAAAAGTATTTAGCCTACATGACAGTAAATTGAGATCTTTCAATTATTGCTTTAAGAAGTGTTTGTTTTTATAAAAATCACTGCCTATTTCTTAAGAGGATAAATATTATTTTTTTCCCTATCAATCATTCCTTCCTTTTGAGTTATTAATCCTGTTACTACCTTAAGAGTAAAAAAAAAACAATAATTTAACTGCAAAACTTACTTTGCAATTTTTCCACCATATAAATTATTCATATTAAATAAACTCCATATTGCTTTATGCATAGCAATATGTGAATAAATAGTGAAGTTTTACGGCTTCCTTAAACCATAAGTGAGGAAAACGAGACATGTGCCAGACCAACAGCTGGTTTTTATTTTTTTAAGAAAATGTTATTAATTTAAATAGAGTTCTAAGAAACTCAACAGGATGCCCAGCAATGATTATTTCTGAGTTCTATGAGATTTGAAACATAATTATAAAAGACTAAAAACCAAAGGATATTTCCTTTTTAAAAAATCCAGATGATCTGTCACATGGAGAAGTTCAGCCTGTAACCGCGCAGCCTCAGTCCTCCTCCGAATCGCTGCCCCTGCTCAAGGGGGCGGAGCTCCGCACCGAGGACAGCAAGGCGTCTTCAATTGGTTTCCTAGGGTTTTCCTCCAGGTTTGTCTTGATTGCTCCAGACTCAGACAATTTCCACTCCAACTCTATACGATAAAGACAAAGTTAATCAACTAAGACAGTCTGCACCGGGCCCTCACCCTCATGCCCACCAAGTCAGTTGTTTTCTATGCAGAAACTATAGTCATCCACATTTGATGACAACTGAATTTTAGTGCCATAATTATAAGGTACCTAGAAAAACAAAAATACTTCAAGCCCTTTTTCAGAAGATGCGATCAGAGGAGCTATTACATACACTGGAACCTGTAAGGTAACTGAAAGAAGAGACCACACAACCTCAGTTTCTCACACTGCACCATATCCCGGGAAAAGTCAACATGAACACTTAAAGGAAATACTTTTCACAGGCTGTGGGCTATCTAATCATTACATCCTCTTTTGGTTGACAAAAAGGAGATTCTTGAGCCTGGTGTCCAGCATCTCGATCAAAGGCTAAATGTTTGACGACATCCTGGAACTGATACATTTGTTCCAACTAATAATCAAAAGTACCAGACAATGAAGAATCAGTGGCTAACGGCTCAATTCCTGTATTTCACTCTCTCTAATTAGTGAAACTCCACGTGTGTGAGAACTTGTGAAGCAAAATCAAGTAGAGAGGGGCTGGGTGGCACCGGGGACTGGAGGAGAGGTGCTGCCCTGTGAATCACGTCCTTCCATTAAACCCGACAACCAACCTTCTGAAGTCACAGTCCTTTAAAGTGCTCATGGAGATGAGTAACACCAGTATTCTCAGTGACATGTTATGAAAATTCAACAAATTTCTTAAAAAAAAACCAAAACACCCAAACTTAATATTTCTGACTCTTGACTCAAGAACACATTTAAATCCATACATACATTCATACATATAAGTGTATGTATTTGATGTTATTGTTCACTCTCAAGCAGTAATCACTGTTTTAGTAAGTTCACTAATCCTCAAATAAGACTTGTTCTAGAAATAAAGACTATAACTACTATAGTACATCTCTTTCCCCCCTCATGGGAGGAACAGACCAAAATATGACCCAAACGTATGCTTAGTTTGAAATGCTGTATGCCTCTGAACACTGGAATAATGAGTAACTGATATCACACACATGTGTATGTATGTATGTGTATATGTTTATACTACTCCCTGTTGAAGAATATCTTTTTTTTTTTAATCCTCACCTGAGGATATTTTTCCACTGATCTTCAGACAGAATGGGAGGGGGAAGGAGGAGAGAGAGAGACATCAATGTGAGAGAGACACATCGATTAGTTGCCTCCCACAAGACCCCAACCAGGGCTGGGGAACAAACAGCAACCAAGGTACGTGCCCTTGACCACAATCAAACCAATGACTCTTTGGTCAATGGGCCAATGCTCTAACTGCTGAGCCAAACCGGCCAGGGCAAGAATATCTCATATAGAGTTATATGAAGTAGTACATAATCATTTTTTTTTAATCCTCACCCAAGGACATTTTTCCATTTTTTTGTTCAGATAGAGCGGGAGGGAGAGAGAAGAAGAGAGAGAGAAACATCGACGTAAAAGGGACACGAGTGGTTGCCACCCGCACGACCCAACCAGGGCCGGGGACAAACTACAACCAAGGTACGTGCCCTTAGCGGGAACCGAACCCTGGTCTCTCTGGACCCCAGGCTAACGCTCTAACCACTGATCCAAATTGGCCAAGGCTATAATCATATTTTAACATGTTTTTAAAGACTGCTAAAGCACAGTTAGACATATTTCAATAAAGAGATAAAGAATCTGACTTAGCAGGAAGCCCTCAGGCCTCAGTCTCTCTCACATTATGTGTGTATATATATTTTTGACACCTCCATGTGCAATAGGTAGGAAGGAATAAAAAGACATCTGTTAGGAGTTAAGAGAAAGAATCAAATAAACTTTTAATTTAATTTAAAAGCTACTAAGACATTCAACTGAGAATATATTTCTATAGAGATGATTTACCTATGTTTACGCATCTGTCCTAATATGTTCATATGAATTAAACAAAAATGAGTGATGTGACCTTGAGCTCAAATACAGGGAAAATAAAACATTAATATTATATATATTTTTTAAAGTCCACTGTGTCCTCTTTTCATTGGAGACCAGTTGTATCTGCCCACGGGGTGGTCTGAGAGACGGTGTGTGCTCTGCCCCTCCCTACCATGCACTGGCCACCTCATGTGCCCTGGCCCATCTCAAAGAGACCCTTACCGTCTATCGTCAGGTTCATGCCACCAAACACTAGCGGTCCAATAAACTGAGCCTTGATATCCCCTTCAAGGTAAACGAATACTGTGGGCAGATTCCTGTCAGGATAATTGGGTATGCAGGTGGTTGAAATGGCTTTGATAAACTTGACATCAGGAAACTTCCTGGCAAGTCCACTGAAGTGCTGGTTTATCAGGGCACAGAGGGGAATCCTAGGAAACAGAAACAGAAAACAATGATGAGAAGGAAATGCTACAAAGTAGAAGTAGAAGCAATTGTGATTCTGCATTTATACACAACAAACTCCACCATCCCTCTATTCTAAAAAAAACCTCACAAGTGGTTCTGCTACTCCAGCCAAGATGAATTAACATTTAAAAAAAAGAAAGAAAGAAAACCTTCTCAGATATTCAGGGAAAGTGAAGAACTCAAAATCCAAAGTCCAATTTAATATGACCCAACACTAAGTCAGAAAAACAGCTTCAATGTAAAAGATAATTATTATGCCCTTCTACATGACAGAACAGTCAATATTTAGAATGTGTGAAACAAGTCAGAAAGCATTTCCTGCTCTAAAGAAAGTCCCACAGAGCCCTGGACTCGACAGTTGGAGGACAGCCTGGAGGTGAGACACGCAAAGGACCGCGGGACCACTCGCCGTGACAACTGTTACGCAGCTCAGCCTCACCACCTGCAAGTGTCCATTACACAGACTCGAAAAGCCAGAGTTTCTCTAGAGGAATAAATAACTTAGGAATTTATTTTCAATTAGAGAAAGTTTTTATTGCTACACCAAAACAAAGGCATCTGTGGTTAGTCAAACATATAAATTTGAAAGTCTTAAGACAAAACTTAGGCATTAACGTTTGGGCAAATCAGCCATTAAAACACCCTCTGATGTGGATTTAAACCCAAGATGTTCAGAACATAAAGTCCAATGAGCATTTAAAGGCAGACCGTAAGATCACTCACCCTTGTTTGTAAAGGTGCAAGATCACCCACAAGCCCTTCCCAGCTTTGGTAACTTCCTGAACATAATCCTTTCCTGAGATCTCCAAAACTTCTCCAAATTTGTTTCTCAGTTTAGTTGCTTTCCACTCGGCCAGTCTCTGCTGCCTGCACAACAGGAGGAGTGAGTTGTCTTACACACACGTACACACACACAGGTACACACACGTATATCTTTCAGACAACAACCTTTAGAAAGGTCCAGGTTTATTTATTTGCCTCATGGCAAAAATCTAAGATCAGTTTGCTAAAATTTGAAATATTATTATTTTATTATGGTCCTTTCCAAATGTTATCTCAGTTAAAAAATTCATTTTTCAAAGGACACACATTTTAGTGCCACACACACACCCCCAAAACAGTCCCTCTGGGTGGCACTAACCTGTACATTTCAATAGCTCGTTCATCTTCCTCGTTAAATTCATCTTCATTATCCTCCAATTCTTCCAGAGTCATATCTTCATATGTTTTCACTGAATGTAATTAAGTTGGCAAAACCCAAAAATTTAAAGGAGGAACACGCATTTTCCCCCTCCACTCTTCTCCTACAGACGCGCATGCAACACCAAAGACTCCCAGCCCACCAAAACCAGAATGCAAAGGACTTCAGGTATTACACCAGTAAAAAGAAGTTGAGGGTGTTTTACAAAGATAGAACCAGTATGGTGGTATCTGCAGGCTTGACTTTTACCTACACATCACAGTAAGGATATGAATGAGAAGTTTCCCAAGTTTATAAAACAAACAGTGTATTTGCCTGAACTCACCTGGTCATCAAGCCCATACACTACTGGATGGGTGTTCACAGTTCTCCTGTCTCCCAGGGGATGGGAGACCAGCATACCCTTCCTAGAGTTACAGGAATTATCACTGGCTCTTGGCTCTTGGTATTTTCTTGTGCCTGGCAGGCAACTCTATCTTTTCTTTTAAGGAACTACTATAGCATTGTATTTTGTTTTTATTGCCATCAACTCTTGCTTCTTGCCATCAAATCAGGCTTTTGTCCCTGACACCCACCCCATCTCTACAAAGAACTGCTCTTACAAAGGTCGACAACGACATTCATTTCTTGACTGATGAGCAGCCTGTGATCCAACCCAGCACTGCCTCCCCTGTGAACAGCTGCCCTCCTCTGGCTTCCAGGACGCCCCCTCCTCCCCTCCTCCTGCTTCGAAGACTGCCCTCCTTTGGACCCTTTGCTGGTTTGATTCCTTTTCTTCTTTATATCCACTTGCTTGGAGATCGTATCCTATGGCTTTAATTACTACTAAATGCTGACAACTCCCAAATGTATGACTCCAGCCCATATTCTCTGATTTGGGAAAAAACACACCCAATGGCCCGCTTACCCTCTCTACTTGTCTAATAAATATCTCGGTTACTATGTACCAAAATGACTTCCTGATCTCACCTCCAGTCTGTTCTCTCCAACTTTCCTCATCTCAGTTGGAGTAACTCCACCCTCTGGTGGTTCAAGCCCAAAGCTTTGCAGTCTCCTAGAATTATTTCTCTCACATCGCACAGAGGGTCGATCCATCAGCAAATCCTGTTGGCCCTACCTTCAAAATATATCCAGATCTGATCACTTCTCACCATTTCCTCCTCCACCAGCACCACCACCACCATGCTGGTCCAAGCCAACGTACCTCCCGCCTGAATTACTGCAGTAGTTTACAGACTTGTCTCCCTATCTCCTGCCTTGCCCTGCACTGTCCGTGCTTAGGAAGGCAGAGCACACGTGTCACCCCTCTGCTCAAACTTCCAATGGCTTCCAACTCACTACATAAAATCAATGTCCTTAGGAACTACAAGATCCTAAATGGTTTCACCCCTCGTTACCTCTCTGAACTTATTGCTCCTCTCTCGCAACCATATTGGCCTCCTTGCAGATTCTCCAACATGCTTTCCACTTGCTGAAGTAGCTCAGTTCACCTCCCTCAGGAATCCCAAATGTCATTCCTAGTGAGGGCCTCTCTGACCTTACCTAGACTCATACTCCCCTCTCCTCCAACCCTTCCAAAGCCCTTTCACTGCTTTCTTTTCCTAATTTTCACTTATGTATTACTTATTATTTGTCACGCACAACAGTGTAAGTCCCACGAGGACAGGGATTCTTGTCTGGCCTGTGCACAGCTAAAGCCTCACTGTCCAGAAAAGCATCCAGCACACAGTAATCATTCAATACCACTCACTGGATAAATGCTTTGTAATACATCCTTCTCTAAATTAGCTCTAAATGTAAACAGGGGCCAAAAGTACTGGCCTCTGTGATCAGTAGTTCTCAGATTCCAGTGTGAGTCAGAAATCCTTGAGGCACTTGTTTAGAATGCAGATTACTGGGCCTCACCCACAGAGATTCTGATTTGGCAGGAACTGAGTTTTTATAAGCACCCCAAGGATTCCAATTCAGGTGGTGCAGCTACCTTTAAGAAAACCCCTCTCAGATCCCATACATTGCAAGTATCTTATGCTTCCCCAAATTAAGTTATTTAAATATTTTCAGTTAAAGCAAGTATCTTATGCTTCCCCAAATTAAGTTATTTAAATATTTTCAGTTAAAGCAAGTATCTTATGCTTCCCCAAATTAAGTTACTTAAATATTTTCAGTTAAAGCACAAAGAGAATAAAGTATAAGCTCAGGAGAATATAAACACTATAAACTTGAAGCAAATTTCCATGACATTATCCAAAGTGAACCGCAGACCAGAAAGTTCAAGTTCAGGATTCTCACGTGCTCATCTGACACATACAAGAAACCGTGGAAATGAAGGGAGCCTCTGAAGTCCCTTAATTCTACGACCCAGGAAGTCGAAGGTGGAGACATTCTGTGACTTGTGTGTGGTCCCACAGTGTCCATCCCAGCGCTTCCTGGCTCCTGACCCTTGCTCAGGGGATCCTTCCACCACAGCAGTTAGGGGCTTAGAAAGTTGTTTCCTATCAGAGAGACTCAGAACAGAAAAGAATAAAAGCAAGCTCACCAACTGACTGCTGAAGGACTCGCTGCTCTTCCTCTTCTGCCTCCTTTTCCAGTTCATTCAAACTTTCTTTCGAGGGCAAGATGCCCTTTTTGCGTAAGATGTCATTCCACTCAGTATCTGCGTTGGGGTCCTAGAACAGGGGGCCCAAGGATACATACCATGAAAAGTCCACTATGGAGGGTGCTACATTGGGCAAGGGGTCAAAGGGGGAAAGGTAGTGGGAAGAAAAATTCAAATTATTTTGTGGCCTGTTTCTGAGAAACTGTCAAAAGACCCACAGGCCATGTTCCATTCTTCCTGTCCTGTACTCCGTGCCCCCAACTACCCACCACTGAGGGGTAATATGATGTGCAATTTGGCATCAATGCTGAAACCAAGACTTTGACCTGGCATTTGTCCAATATTCTTAGTAAAGACTTAGAGTGATTCATTCTACAGATATTTATTAAGTATGTACTACATGCAAATTATTGCAATAGTAGGGAAGGGTGGCGAATGCCAAAGCCACCTATTTTACAGTCAAGAGAAAGAGACAGGCATTAAACAATTAAACACACAATCAGATACATATTACAAACTGTGGCAAGTGCAATGGCCAAGAGGCTGCTGACCTAGAGAGTTACAGGGGCCTGCATTCCCCAGGTTGGATGGAGACGTTCCCTCAGAATAGGTGACAGTTAAATCATCTCTGGTGGGTGAGAAGAAATCAGACATGAGGAGAACTTAGGAAATTACTTTCAGGCAGAGGGACCAGTATGTTCAGAGCTCCCACGAGCAGTGATATTGAGCATTTCAGTGTCCTCTGGCTGCAGCAGAATCAGGAGGAGAGCTTGATGCTAGGCTGACAAATTCTCTAACGGCCAAACCTGAGAGGAAGGGAAGAGCTGAGACCCCACGGAATAGCTCACAATGGCTAGCACATGAGTGCTAGGTGCTGGACACTTTTCTAAGCCCGTTAGCAGCATCTAGTTAATCCTAACGGGCCGACGAGGGACACAGCCTTTGGGAAGCCACTGCCATGCTGGTACAAGTCAAACTTATCAGGATCAAATGTCAGAGGATAAATGTCAAAGTGGGTTCTTAGCTCCAGAACCCTGCTGCTCAAATACTGGTTTTGCATAGCTTGGCAGGAACGCTGCTAATGGACCTGGTTTGAAATTTGTCATGAAGGAGCGCTGTGGAAAGGGCACTGGGATAACCGGGCTCCGGCCCAGGTCCACGTCTCGGTTCTGCTAAGATAGAGCAAAACAAAAATGAACAGAATCCTTTCCACTGGGTGGTCAGGGAAGGCCTCCGAAGAGGTGACATTTTAAAGCAGGGGCCTGAAGGAGAAAGAATGCAAAGGCCAGGGCAGCCCTGGAGCTTCCTCATCACCCTTTAACAGAGTCTGGTTTGTGGCAGACAGACTGTATTTACAGAGGCTCATCCTCATGCCTTCGGCCACAACCAAACCCACACAAACTCCATTTCCCACTGAGCCAGACACGAGATCTGGAAGGCAGCAGAATGGCCTTTGGTGGAGGGTCCTTGACAACTTAGCTGTCACAAATTTTTCTCATAAAAGTATCCGTTTGCATAGTGTCTTCATTCACTTTCCTTTGGGTTTTGGTCAAAGTCCAGAGTCAATAAAAGGACAATATTGGCGGATCTTGTGTTAAGACGGAAAGTTACTGAACACAGGGTCCTTTGGGCTGGACTCCGGAAGCCCGGAGAGCCCACCTCAACCTGAACACCGGCGTTAGGGCTGAGTTGCTAACCCCTGCCCCAGCTCTGAGTGGAGTCAGGAACAGGGCTTCCGCCACCGGTTTGTGACCGGAGCCCACGCGGGACTCCACTTCTCCAAGCCTCGGCTTCGCGACCCGTGCACAGGCTCCACAAGACACCTGCTCGGGTGCTCAGCACGAGTTAGTAAGAAGTAACTGCCGGTGGGATACGACCTCGAGGAAGTGGAGCCCCAAAGGACGGAGATTCGGGGTGGAACCCCCGCAGGTGAAGACGCCCAGCCGGCGGGACCACCCCGCCCTCCCGCACTGCGCCTGCGCCGGGCCTGAACACACGCGCCTCCCCGGAGCCTGTGGCGCTCGGAGCGTCCCGCAGGCCTGGACGGAACAGTCCGCCGCCGGCGCGGACCTAGCGGGGCAAACAAGCGGCCTCAGCCCCCAGGCCTCGCGCCCCCTTGGCTTGCTCACCTGCATCTTGTCCCAAATAGCTCAAGCCAGATGGGCCGCCGCGCCCGTCCCTCAGTTCTCTCCCGCGCATGCGTGCAGCTGCCTCTCCGCCCAGTCCGGCTTTCGCCCCGCCTACGGGAGTGAGCTGGGCGGAGCCAGGGAGGGAGCCAGGCCTCTGAGTCTGCGCGAGCTGCTCAAGAAACAGGCGAAGCAGCTGTGCACACACGCGGGACGGGAGACGCCTACCGTCTGGCTTGCCAAGCTCGGGTCACCGCTCCTACGTGACAGCCACGGCCCTACGAGTCACGTGACCTGGAGCCAATCCTGTTTACTACCTTATGAGGGCAGATCTTCGGCCTTGTAGCTGTGGGCTGGGTAGAGGAGGTACTAGTGACAGTGCACTTGATCCAGCCCTAGACCTAATTGTGCAAAAGAGGTCGAAGCCCAAGAAGCCAGAAAAAGAAATGTTTTAGTGATGCAGTGTTATAATTAAAAATGATACAGGGTCACCTGGAGTTAAAATTATCATTTCAGCGTAGGATAAGTCAATTTATTTGTAAGACATTTATTGAGAGCCTGCTTTGTACCAGGTACTATTTTAGGCTCTGCTAATACAGAAGCGATCACAACAGACAAAACCCAAAAAGCGAAAGACATTTCATCTGGTTGAGTGCCAGGAGATCCGTATTTGCACAAGTGCTTAGCCTTATATGGTCACAGAGGAGGCATTGAGTAAAAATCAGCAGAGCCCGAATTGTAAAATGCAGGTACTAAGCTCCAGGCTTCTGCCTACCCAGCCCTATGAATTTGAGTTAAGGAATAAATATCCCTCTTTGGACACCTGGGCTGGTGTTGCCAGTCTTTGAGATTTTTCTCTGCCCTCCTATCCCTGGGTCCAACCTCTAAGCCATGGAGGCTCTGACATAGGAGCTGGAGGGCGGGATGGGGAACTTCACTCTTCACTGACTATCCTACCTGAATTCTCCTTATGGACCAGGAGCTGTGTATGTATTGGCAGTGAGGCAGGGTAGGGGCAGGAGTGGTGCTGAAAAGTGGTCCCATACCACTCCTAAGCCACTCCTAAGTATGTCCCCAGTATGGACATTAAATTATTTTAATCTTCTGTGGCACAGATCCAAAGATGATGAGACCTAAAATACACTGATTGCCAAACCTACTCATCTTCATCTTTAGGAAGCTGGGAAAGATGGGAGCTGTCATTCATCTGTTGAGCCTATGAGAGCATCTCTACAAAGCCATGTTGAGCTGCCACTTGGTTGCTGAGCTCAGTGGAACAGTTCTTCAAAAAGGCAGAGCTGTGGGGAGATGGATGCAGTCCCTAGCTTCAGTACTATGGATTGCCAGCTAAGTTTCCATAGATTTTATTGAATTAATGTTTCTCAACCTATTGTACACCCTTTGATCAATCTCTAAAGATTTTGAAAAGTTGTCTTTATTAATCTTCATCAGCTTAATAGTTTCCCTGAACATCTCATGCTACCATTCTGGGGGACCTACCTGGGTTATTTGTTACACAGCAACAGATAACTAATACAATAGCCAAGCAAGGCGGTATAACTTAAATTAAGACAAACAACCAATTACATGGAGAGCAGGGAAGACATTTCAAGCAGGAGGAACAGAAAGTACAAAAGTATGGAAGGTGGAGGCACTGAGGTAGAGAAGTGGTTCTCAGAATGTGGTCCTTGCATCAGCATCATTGGTATCACCTGGGCACTTGCTAACACTGTGAATTCTTGGGCACCACTCCAGACCTAGTGAATCAGAATCTCTATGGATAGAGTACCACAATCTGGGTTTCTGCAAGCCCTGCAGGTGTTTCTGAAGCACTAAAGTTTGAGAACCACGGGAATATTAGAATTGTTTCTCATCGGCTATAATAGCTGGGCTCATAATGTGTTCAGACTCTCAATGATTTTCCTTTTGTTTTTTGTTTTTAAAGAGCTGAGAGAAAAGGAGCTAATAAATACTTCCTCTTAGTGAATGCTTTGTCGCCTTAATAGAGAAAACAGTTCCCCAATACCAGCCACATGAAACAGATCATGCCATAGCAAGTAGATGCTTGCCCCACTTTTGCTGGGAATAAGTCACCTCTGATTTTAGTCTGATTTTAATTTGGTTCCAGTTGTTTTAATGGACCACCCTAAAGTTTTCCTGCACTAGGCTTTGCAGGATTTTGCTTCTGTGTATGATGGTCATAGATATAGAAGGAAATTTGGACATTTGGTTTTAGTGTGCTTTAAAGGGGAATATTTAAACTTTGGCTAAATCCAGTTAACTGAAAGAGCTAAAACTTTTCTGGGACTGAAAGAATACAAATGAACTTGGATTGAAAAAGAGTTAAAGTAGCCCTGCTGTTGCCCAGGTTGGGAGGACAGATTTAGATAAAGCCAAATGCAAAGTTCACAGACAACAGCTCTTCTCCCAAGGTCTGGCTGTAGCTGTGAAATACCATAACAACACCCACTTTGAATGACCACTGCTTTCTTAGCAATGACGCACCTAGACCCATTTCACTACACCCATCTTTTATACTGGGGTTCCCAAATGCTGAGCCACCCTTGTTCATGATGGTACCCAACCTCTTCTTAGTCCCTACTTCTCATACTTCTGCCTTGGTAACTGCAACAAGTACAGCACTGATCCCCACTTCCTTTGGACTTTCCTGGATCCTTCAGCAGGATCTTGACCTTACAAACCTCCTCCTTTTTCTGGGAAGCACTTCATGGCTCCTATGGAGTGCCTCCCTCACAGCATCAGGTCTACAAATCTGTACGTGGACTACAGGCGTGTCCCTGGTGATCTCTGTCTGATTAAGCTTAAATAGAAAGAAAATGGTACCTTGTCCTGTATTTGGGGGGAGGAAGGTGGTGTTTGTTTATTTGTTTATATTTGACTTGATTACCAATTTTAGATCCCAGGTCACAGAAAGGAACCCAGAGGACTGGCCCCCATGAAATTGTCAATGATTACTTCTCTTTACATTTCAAATCAGTTCCTACCTTGGCCTCCCCATAATCATTAGATATTTTCTTGTAAAAGACCCACACAGAGATCTAACACTGTCAGTCATGAATCAAGCACGGCAAACTTTCAGTTAATCAAATTACAATCTCTAAAGTTATTAATAATATCAGCATCCTCCACCCAAGGAACTTGCACCAATGATGATCAAACAAGAGGGGAGTGCTGTGACTTGATTAATGCAGTCTCTCTGAGTTATTAAGTTAGTATGTTACTTCAGCACCGCAAATGTGGACTAGGCATTTACCTTTTACATGTTCCTTTACTTATCCATTCACGTAAACATTTTCTGAGAGCCTTACCACAAACCAAACACTGTCCTGGGTCTCAGAACTTAAAATGAATTAGACTCAGCCTCTGCACAAAGCTTGCAGTGAGGTTGAGGAGAGAACCAGTGGGCAGCCGGAGTGAAGAGATGAAAAGCTCTGTCAATGGAGGAGGTCAAGAACTCCAAGCCCAGAGTGTTCAGGGGCTTTGGTGCCAACCTGGATGGCACAGGACATGAAGTGGAGAGGAGGACCATGAACAAATGACCAGATCCCTCGAGGGAAGAGGGAGTGCAGCCAGGATGTCTGTAGATGACAGCGCTGTGGAAAGGTAGGGTGGCTTAGCCAGAAGAAACGAGCCGACAAGAAGTGTGGAGTTTCAGGGGAGATGGAGGACAGCTGGCCTAGAATACTTAGGGCAGTGAGGAGGACCTCTGCTCAAGGTGTCCTGGAATACCTGGCGTGCTGGACAACGAGCAGCCTCTCCCAGCCCACCTCCGTCCCAGGAAGTCCTCAGGGAAGAGAAAGGAAGTGGAAGCACTGAATTTAGGGAAGAGATTGCAGGTAAATAGGGGTTTTTATCCTGGCCCAATGGTCCAGAGAACCCAGAGGAGGAGTTGGCCCTGGAGAAGAGAGAGGCGACTGGAGAATGGCTAGAAGGAGAGGATTCCAGGGAAGGATGGTGTTTATCTCCTCTTCCGTGGAGGCAGTAGCAGCTGGCAGTGCGCATGGTGACCATGTATGTGGGGAGTGAACGGGTCCATGGTGCTGGGATGTTTTGAGGAGTCCTAATGGCTAAGGCACTGGGCTGGGTTGTCAGTCTGAGCAGCTAGCAGTGATTGGCCTGGGCGAGGTGCTCAAGGCCTGGGTAGATCAGGGGCCCTGTTAAAGTTGATGCAGGCAGAGGCCAGAGGTGGCTCTGAACCTCTGGAGTTCTCTGGCTGCTCTAGGAGGGATCTCAACCTCATTGGATCTCAATCCCTTCATTAGCATCGTCACAAGCCATTCTCTTATTGAGTACCTTCTATACGCTACTGATCTGGGTCATCCACATTGGGACTCCAAGTAATACAAGTCCCATTACCAAAGTGTCTGTTTTCTAGCTGACTGGTAAAGGACCCTATCCCCTGATAACAGGTCCATTTTACAACGCTGTCCACTGCTTAAGTGCAAATCAAACATAAAATTACTCTACCGTGGCTTTCCTTCCCACAAATGCTCTTCACTCTTCTTTACCTGCTTGAGGTCATGGTGAGTTTTCCCCAGGGAATGGTGATAAAATGGTAGCTCTTCCCTTGGCCACCTCTTCCGAGTCTGTAGCTACATGGTGTACTGCCCAGCTGCCCAGTGCCCCAGCATCCTTGTAGCTGCCACGCAGTGATGTCTCTTCTCCTGGGCTCTGCTTTATTTCAGCAGTTCCCTCCATTCTATCTCGCCAATGTCTGGGAGACTCAGCGTGTAAATAAAATAACTCCTACTGCTCGTTCCTTCAGGGTTTCTATAGATTGTGATTTAATCTCTTGAGGCAACTTGATGGTTTAATATTAAGCTGAAATACCAGGAGTCAGTGAAGAGATCAGAGACTTTAGCAAAAAATAAAATTGTCCAGAGTGGAATTTTTCCAGCTCTCCAAAAGGGTTTGTTTGGTCCAGGCATATTTGTTCTTTTAGGTAGTGAGATACACAAGATAAATACCTCCAGAAAGACTAAGAAAACCAAAGTGTCTAAACATGTTGAACTGGAAAAGAACCTGGAACCCCAAGCAGAGGTGGGGGAGGGGTAACCAATCCATCCAGATGCCTGCTCAGCTGCCCATCACGC